AAATGTAGTCTTTATCTCTAGGGTTCTTCTGTGGGTTACACTTTGAGACAGTCTCTTCACAGCAGAGCCACAGTCTCTTCATCCTCTTCCACCATCACTACCATTTCTCCCAGGGTGGAAAGTGCTCTCTTACAATGGCCCCAGAGCTGCTGCTGGTTTGCAAGACCACGTGTCCATAATTAAAGAAGCTGTATAGCAACACAATGCTAGAAAAGCCGATTTTCTTTTTGTTCCTTGTATTGATATTTTAACAAACGTTTACAGAAAACTTGGATTTCCATTCATTCATCATTGCACATTTTCTTCCCAACCTTGCTATTCCCTTTAAAAAGATTATTTCATTTTTGCACAATTTCCTCCCAACCCTCCACCACCCTAGTACACTTTGCTATGTACCTCTTATTCTGGACTGTTGTCTTGCAAATAATACCTAATCATATATTTCTTTTAGACAGTTCTTTCCCTCATTTATTTAAAAGCTGTGTTTCATTATTTATCTCCTCTTTTCTTAGTTTCTCTCAAACCCCATGTCAGTCCTGTTATACAACAATGGCATTATGCAGTATTTGTCCTTTTGTGACTGAGATATTTCACTCAGCATAATGTTCTCCAGGGTCACCTATTTTGTGGAATATTTTACAAATTCCTTGGTTTTCAGTGCTGTGTAGTATTCAATTGTGTGACAATACCATAGCTTCTCTAGCCATTCATTTGTTGATGGGCACTTGGGTTGCTTCCATCTTTTTGCTATTATGAACAATGCATCAATAAACATGGGTGTGCAAAAAAGCTGATTTTCAAGTGTTCTGACACCCCAATCTTCTTGCATTATTTGCTTAGCATGCAAATTATAAAGGTATAGAAAAAAAAATCAAACCATGATATATACCTCTCCTGATTTTAAACCATGCAGTGTTTCCTAATGGATTTTTAACTAGGAGGCTTTATCACCTCGCCTCACTCACCTTAACAAATCAACTTTCCACCCTAATGCTCACCAATCTTGGCCGACAAGCTTCTAAAGAACCCAGTTCCTGCAGATGGCTTTCAAAATGGATTCCAACCCCATGGTGCCAATCAAGAGGGTTTTTAACTGGGAGGCTTTCTCACCTGGCCTCACTTCCCTTAACGAATCAACTTTCTACTCTAATGCTCACCAATCTGCTTTAATTTGTGTTTTGTCAGACATTCTACTAAGTGGTATATAGCACTGGTCTGTGCATTGCTGTACAGATGTAACTCGTGGTTCCTGTGATGGTATATGCCAAATGTGATAATGGCTACCCATGGTAAACAGTGTTTGGTGGAGCTTCCTCATTAAATCAAGCTTGGCTGCAGGAGTGGCATTCACTTCTGAAATGGCTTGCCTCTGGAAACTCTATGAACATGGAGAAATTACCAAAGTTATACAAGTGTTCAGGTCTTTCATTCATAGGGTCGCTATGAGTCGTCTACGACTTGACAGCACTTAACAACAAAAACACCTTGTTCTGTTCAGACAACTACTTCTTGGCCTCTGTTTAGGTTTCTCATGAGCACAATTAGCTGTTCTGGGATTCCCATTCTTTTCAATGTTAGCCATAATTTGTTAAAATCTACATAGTCAAATACTCTTCCATAGTCAATAAAACAGAAGTGAACATCTTTCTGGTATTCTCGGTTCCAGCCAAGATATCTTTGAAATTAGCAACAATATCCCTTGTTCTAAGGCCTCTTCTAAATCCCACTTGAATTTTTGGCAAGTTCCTGTGGATGTACTGCTCTTTATCTTTTTAAACAATTTTCAGCAAGATTTTACTTGCATATGATACCAATGATATTGCTCAATAATTTTCACATTCGTTGGATCATCTTTCCCCCTCCTGTTTTTTTGTGGGTTTTTTTGTTTTGTTTTGTTTTGTTTTTAATTTCCATTCATTCATTGTTGCATTTTTCTCCCCTTGCAACCCTCCCCCCCAGTACACTACCTTCTTGAAAAAGTAAAAGAAAAATTCTTTCATTGTTTTACAAACCCTCCCCCCAGGTCCACTCCACTATGCAGCCTTCGCTCCGGACTCCCTTCATGACAAAAATACCTAATCACATATCCCTTTTAAACAGTTTTCTCCCTCATCTGTTTCAATGCAGTATACATTATTGAACCCATATTTCTCAGTCT